ACTGTACCTCGCGGCTGGACGTCCAACGGAGGAGGGGGTGCCTCGAGTTCCGAGCCAGATTCGCGTTCCGCCGTCGCAGGTCTATTGATGGTCCTGCTCTTGCACTCTACTCGACACGAACCTTCTAACCTGGGCAGCGACGACAGGGGCTGCACCCTCTCCCGTGCGTTTCCGTTGAACCGCCCAGGAAAAAGTTGCTACTCCGGAAGAAAAGGAACTGCTAATGCCGTTGACCGGTCCTTGGGTGGGGCATGAACCCCGACAAACTGCAGCGGACCAGGACCAAAGCGATGCGATGCGACACGATGCGATCCAGGAATTGTTCGGGGGGGCGTGTCAGCGCGCTTTGGACGGCAACGCGGCTGGCCCTTCACCGCCGAGACGCTGCCTCCGTCCATGGCCGCCGAAGATCTGGCCCGCACCATCTGCAGTTCCTGGCTGCACTGGCTGCTGTGGCACCGTTCCGGCCAGGTGCAGCGTTGTCACCAGACGCTCGCCCCGACGCACTTGTATGTACATCATCCACGATGCCGTCTCCTTCTGGTAGGCGCCGCGGGCATCTGTTCGCATCGAGCCTGGCATCGAATGTGAAAAGGCTCGCATCCTGCAGCCTGCCTGCAACCTCGTGGAGTGCAGGGCCTGGGCAGCATGGGGGAACCGATCTTAGCCTGCTCGGTATGCCTGGACATGCTTCACTGCCTCTCTGATCGGATGGAAAATTAGCTGCAAATGTCGCGGCCGGCATCGATGTCTGTGCGCCGACGGCTGACACCACAGTTCATGTCTTTCGGTTCAAGCTTTCCCGACCCCAAAACCCTCCATTGCCTGCTCCCAAGGATCATGGTCAGCATTGGGGAAGACATCACCGCCCTGGGGCGCCCAATGGCCTCCCCTTGCTCCAACTCGGCTCGAGGGCAGGGCAAGCGGCTGGCAGACGGGACTGCGCCATCCAGGCGGGAGCAGTGCCAATCGTGGATGCACAGAGTGGGAATGGCGGTCAGCCGTAACACGTTGCGGCGCGAGTACGAATCCTCCAAAAAGCGAGGCAGGCAGGAGGCTCGCGATGGGTGTGGGCGGACACCCGGTGCGTTGCGCCGTGTCCACGTCAGACCAGGGATGCCAAAGGGTTCATCGATTTAACTGCGAGCCACACGAACGCCTGTTCATCACCGCCATGCCCCCGGGCCACCAACATGCAGGCCGAGCACGCGCATGGCAACCAACAGGCTGGTGCCTTCGCTCGGCGCCCGTTGGCGCTTCACATGGATGCAGCTACCAGCGTCATCACACTGGAGATCGAACGCATCCCGCTTCAACG